CACACACACACACACACACACACACACACACACACACACACCACCCACACACACACACACACCACACACACACACACCACACACACACACACACACACAACACCACGGAATGAATTTATATTATTATATATATATATATATATATATATATATATATATATATATACATGTGTGTGTGTGTGTGTGTGTGTGTGTGTGTGTTGTGTGTGTTGTGTGTGTGTGTGTGTTGTGTGTTTGTGTGTGTGTGTGTGTGTGTGTGTGTTGTGTGTGTGTGTGTGTGTGTGTTGTGTGTGTGTGTGTGTGTGTGTTGTGTGTGTGTGTGATACCGTGTTATCACATATTATTTTTTTTCTTTCTTACGCATTCACATGTTATTCTCATATTCTTCACATATCATTCATTACACATAGTGTGTGTAAACACGAACATGTACACATTCGCACTCCTACGCACTAATGACAATCTTACAAACACGCACACAATTGCACTCATTCACTTGCACGCACATTCAAATATGCGAATAATTGCTGTTGCCAGACCGTTTCAAACACAAGAAATGAGAATGTTGACTGAGTGTTGTAAGTTGTTTTTGGAACAAATACTTGAACGCAAGCAGGACAACGGTGGCTTTCTTGAAGCGCTGAGTGTTAACGATTATCCAGGTAACGACCCGAATTCGTTCCTGCTACTAGTCGAATAAGTTCCCAAGGAACGGAACTTATATTGCTGGACACCTTTTATACTAAAATTGCTGTGACATAGCCCTAATGACACCGGTTAACAAGGGCTCGCACTAGTTGCTACACTCCCTCCCAAAAGACATATTTCTAAGTTTACTGTTTCTTTGTTCCATTCTCCACACAGGTGCCCAGCCTCGTGATATGGTCGTCAATGCTTCCGGAATCAGCCAACTTCCAGCAGAACGTGTGCCTGCGGCTGGGTAAGGTTCACCCTAATATTTTTCGTAGCCGTCCGTAGAGAGTGTTACGACCAGACGCACGTCGGAGAGGACGCTGCGGGGCGTACTACTCCAACCACATGATCAACGTCCTGTGCCAGGGACACGCCGGCGCTGGAGGCGACGAATAGCTGCTGCCGGCGATGACGCCGAAGCACACGCACCCGCGCTCGCCGCGCGTGGTCCCTATCGTGAGAGCGGTGACCTTCACGGTGAAAGTAATTTTTTGACGGAGCTACTAGACTATTCGACTAAGGATTAATGGACAGATTTGACGGTGGCTGACTCCCAGACCTTCCCTCATGCTCAGCTGGTCATTACTAGCACAGCCAAAGTTTCGTCCTGTTGCAAGTTGTTGTCCCTGTTTTTGCCCCTTGTTTGTCTCCGAGACCGGAGGACCCCGCAGCCGTAAACATATGTGGCGTTATGATGGCTTGGAGCAACCGACTGGCCGTTTGCGTTGCACCGTGCGAACGATGTCCGATGTGTCTGCAGGTTCGCTGACATGCATGACCGTGGCTGTATGAAAATAAGAGTATGCCAGACATTACGCCGCCTTACGTGTTTGTGCCATTCCCGACTCGTATTCCCTGCACTGCAAAGGTGGGTAGAATGGCGTCCCTCTAGGAGAATAGCACCACATATGACACCGTTTCCACGGTGTTGTCTTTAAGGGCTGATTTCTTGTACGTGATCGCCCTACTAAATGACAACCTGGAGAAGATAACTACGGCAGACATTTCTAGATCACATCCAGTTCTGACTTTCTGGCCTGGGGAAGCCTTCTATAAAGCTGAAAACGGCAAGCCAGCTAAGCTTGGTTTCGAAACAGAGGTCGTGAGGACTGTGGACCACCCCGATGAAAGAAGGGCGTCATTTGTAGCGCAGACAGTATTCCTACCAGCAAAAACCAAAATCACATTACATAATCCCGGCTTTTGGCATACATTCAGCAGAATGAGACAACAAAAGTTAGTAGAAATCATCAGTAAGTATAAGTTGCAATTTTGAGGTGAACTTATGCCAAATCAGCTCGTTGCTGATCTACCTAATGTATCACTATATGCCGTTTTCTCCATGGCTGATCTTTTCAATTGCGTACAATACGAAGTGTAGCTCCACCACGACTTTCCATTTGCTTCCACTGTAGCGCTAAGATTTGTATTACCCCGGTGTCCACGGCTAGGAAAATGACCATGAGCTCGGCGGGGGCGAGTCACAGGTAAGAGAGAAACCTGTGATGGCCCACTCATGGCTGACATGGCTCATTCCATTGGCAGTGTCAATCGTCCCGCTGCGCATGTCCGTGTGGCGAGTGACGGCGCGCAGAGGTAAGAAAGAATCCACGCCGCCACGAGCGTGGGAGGATCATATCAATGCTTGCCCTCATGAAGGAGACTTGCCACGCTCTGATTGTTCAAAGTTCTATTTACACGTCATTATATACACATACATCCATATATATATATATATATATATATATATATATATATATATATATATATATAATACTCTTTACTATACGAGACACCGATTGCGATGAAATTACACGCATTATAACACTGAAGGAGGGAAATAAGCTTAAGTGGCCTAGAACTTTTCAGCACTATTGTCTGGGGACGCAGTTGGGGGGGGGGGGGGGGAATTTGTGGACACACTCCACCGCCTCCCCAATTGTATGAACGGTCATTTTAGTTTAGTTTTCAAGTTCCTTTTCCTTATTGCGCTGTTTCCTCCGCGTAAAAATTCCGCCTAAAAAACCGCTCACTGGAGACGTAAACTCATCAAATGAGCTTTATACGACGTCAGATAACCGTCAAACTGAGTGTGTGCATCAGCTTGTTTATTGGACGGATCAAAGAAATAATTGAACTTATTAATATTAATAAAAACGTATTTTTTATTGGCAAAACAGTATAATGCAGTTCAGGGCATTTACAACCTAACGATTCATTTTTGTGTACAACTTTGCTATTTTGTCAGTGGTACGTTTTGCTTTAAAATGTTTCTTTACGGCACCGAGCATTGCCAATCATCTGGGTTGGCGGCCCGGAGCGTGTTGTGTGAGAGAGATTGTGATGAACTGATAAGTGAAGGTAAACTTGAATGCAACACTCTGTGCGTGAGTAGTGTCAGTAGAAGCTAGCTACCTGCGTACGCATGTCTCTCGGTCGAGGGATGTAGATAAGGCATACCTAATTTTGCATGGGTGACTGCCCAACAGTGCATGTAGTGTGTAGGGTTATGAATAGGGCATGAGACTGAATGTCTAGATTCTGATCACTTGGTATTTTATGCTGCGAACATGTTCAGCTGACTGCAGTTCACATTTTGTAGTAGAATTCCAATATCAGACCTCAGTTCGGGGACAATATCATTGAAAATAAATGTATTTCACTTTTGAAAATGAATGATATTATTAAGATTCCACAACATTTTATGGAGCAGTAGCCGAGCAAACTTACATTGCGGGATTGGTTTATGTAACTGTTAGGGATAAACGCAACATATAAAGGCAAAGTATTTGAATTTAAATGATTTCACATTTTTAGAGTACATTTGCCTGACAGGGGGTGCCACAAATGAAACAAAATAGTTCTCTCTTGCAGTCAAGATTCAGACTGGCTGATTCACACCATTGGCATCTTTGCGACGCTTTGATCTTGATCTTGAAGATCTTGCTATCATCTTTGCCATACTTTGCAGGCTGGTTAATTGCTGGAAAGCAATTTCCACCAGGTAGATTGAGCTGGCGTCCCATAAAAAGCAAGCCATAGCATGTGTGACTACAAGGTGTCTTGACTCATGCAAGTAATGCATTCTTTTGTAAGAAATTGGTGTGCAATACCGATACCTAGAACAAATATTAATATACCGTGAAAGTATGGTGTGTATGAGGTGAGAGGTATTCTTAAGAGAAAGAGGCAAAGGATAGTCTTAAGGGAAGAGGCAAGGGGTAGTCTTAAGGGGAAGAGGCAAGAGGCAGTCTCCCATATTCACTTTTTCAGTGCCATCAATGAGAAACCTTTGAGGACATTCCTCTTTTTGTTAATATTACAGGATTGCTGACTGAGAGGAAGGAATATAGTGCAATTCTTAAAAAATTTGATGGTAGGTGGAAGGTATATAAATAAGAGAAATCAGCAGGCTGCACAAATGTAATGTTTTTTCCGGCCACAAATCGTAACACACACACACAGACACCCCGCCCTGAGGGGGGAGGGGGTCCACGCGCTAGGTTTCTTTTAGGATAAGTCTATGGTGTCTTTTGCAATCGCGCCCAGATGTTCTCCAGCCTATGGTGCACACATGAAGCGCGTTTCGACGCCAGGAACATGTAACTAGCTTTTCTGGTTTCTGAGCAGTGGCGGTTTTTTGGGAACACTGCACGGCGACGCACGACCGGCGCGGGGGCAGGCGGCGACCAACCATGCCGCGGAACGCGCGGCGCGGGGGCGGGCAGCGACCAACCATGCCGCGGAACGCGCGTCGGCCCGCGCTGAGTCATAAATCATGCATATGTGCTCAAAACACATGAGAACATAAACCATTGTACCCTGAATTAACGCAGGAATGGCAGAATTAAGCAGCGCGCCGCCGGGATTACACGCAAGGCGGTGAGGCAAGTCGGGCAATTTGACCGCCACCATAGCGCGTGATAACCTTCCGGGGCGCGCTCGGTTGCTCGGAGTCCCTTCACACACACACACACACACACACACACACACACACACGCACGCACGCACGCACGCACGCACGCACGCACGCACGCACACCGTGTGTGTGTAAATACGAACATGTACATATTCACATATTATTCATTTATTATTACATATTACACAGTCACATATTATTCACATATCATTCATTACACATGTGTGTGTAAACACGAACATGTACACATTCGCACTCCTACTCACTAATAAAAATCTTACAAACACGCACACAATTGCACGCGCTCACTTGCACGCACATTCAAATATGCGAATAATTGCTGTTGCCAGACCGTTTCAAACACAAGAAACGGGAATGTTGACTGAGTGTTGTAAGTTGTTTTTGTAACAAATACTTGAACGCAAGCAGGACAACGGTGGCGTTCTTGAAGCGCTGAATGTTAACGATTATCCAGGTAACGACCCGAATTCGTTCCTGCTACTAGTGAATAAGTCAAGGAACGGAACTTATATTGCTGGACATCTTTTAACTAAAATTGCTTGTGACATAGCCCTAATAACACCGGTTAACAAGGGCGCGCACTAGTTGCTACACTCCCTCCCCAAAAGACATATTTCTAAGTTTACTGTTTCTTTGCTCCATTCCGGAATCAGCCAACTTCCAGCAGAACGTGTGCCTGCGGCTGGGTAAGGCTCACCCTAAAACTTTCGTAGCCGTCCGTGGAGTGTTACGACCAGACGCACGTCGGAGAGACGCTGCGGGCGTACTACTCCAACCACATGATCAACGTCCTGTGCCAGTACACGCCGGCGCTGGAGGCGACGAACAGCTGCTGCCGGCGATGACGACGAAGCACACGCACCCGCGCTCGCCGCGCGTGGTCCCTATCGTGAGAGCGGTGACCTCCCCGGTGAAAGGACTTTTTTGACGGGGCTACTGGACTATTCGACTAGGGACTAATGGACAGATTTGACGGGGCTGACTCCGGACCTTCCCTCATGCTAAGCTGGTCATTACTAGCACAGCAAAGTTTCGCCCTGTTGCAAAGTTGTGTCCTGTTTTGCCCTGTTGTCCCCGAGACCGAGATCGCAGCCCGTAAACATATGTGGCGTTAATGATGGCATGGAGCAACGCTGGCGTTCGCGTGCACCGTGTGAATGATGTCCGATCGTGCCTGGCAGGTTCGCTGACATTGCATGACCGTGGCTGTATGAAAATAAACGTATGCCAGACATACGCCGCCTTACGTGTTTGTGCCCATCACCCGCACTCCCCGTATTCCCCGCACTGCAAAGTGGGCAGAATGGCGTCCTTCTAGAACAGCACCACATATGGCACCGTTTCCACGGTGTTGTCTTTAAGGGCTGGTTTCTTGTACGTGATCGCTCTACTAAATGACAGCCTGGAGAAGGTAACTACACCAGACATTTCTAGATCACATCCAGTTCTGACTTTCTGGCCTGTGGAAGCCTTCTATAAAGCTGAAAACGGCAAGCCAGCTTAGCTTGGTTTCGAAACAGAGGTCGTGAGGACTGTGGACCACCCCGATGAAAGAAGGGCATCATTTGTAGCGTGGGCAATATTCCTATCAGCAAAAACCAAAATAACATTACATAATCCCGGCTTTTGGCATACCTTCAGCAGAATTAGACAACAACAAATTAGTAGACATCATCAGTAAGTACAAATTGCAATTTTGAGGTGAACATAAATCAGATCAGCTCGTTGCTGATCTACCTAATGTATCATTATATGCCGTTTTCTCCATGGCTGATCTTGTCATTTGCGTACAAAACGAAGTGTAGCTCCACCACGACTTTCCGTTTGCTTCCATTGTACCGCTCAGATTTGTATTACCCCGGTGTCCACGGCTAGAAAAATGATCATGAGCTCGGCGGGGGCGAGTCACAGGTAAGGAGGCGAGTGGACTCGGACCTCTCCATCTGTAAACGTAGATTTGTACTACCCCGGTGTCCACGGCTGAGAAGCTGATCATGAGTCCGGTGGGGGGCGAGTCACAGGTAAGAAGGCGGACGGACTCGGACCTCTCCATCTGTAAACGTAGATTTGTATTACCCGGCGTCCACGGCTGATACGCTGATCATGATCTCGGTGGAGGCGAGTCACGGGTGAGGAGGCGGACGGACTCGGACCTCTCCATCTTTAGACGTAGATTTGTATTACCAAGGTTTCCACGGCTGGGAAGCTGATCATGAGCCCGGTGGGGGCGAGTCACGGATAAGAATGGGGACGGACTCGGACCTCTCCAACTGTAAACGTCCCTACACTTCGCAAGACCTCAACTCGCTCGCCAAACCGCAAGTCTGTATTTCAAACGCCAGCACCGTCTTCGTCATCCACTTCCGATACCCACCCCTAACCCAACACGGCGGCGGATGTGACGCGTCACACGTCGAACATCCAGAAGACGTCGCCATTTCTGACGCAACGGCTGACGTCAGCACGTCACTCAGGACGTCATCAGTACGCCACTCAAGCCAGACGTCATCAGCTACCACTGCCCATCCGTCGCCCCCGCCGCCCAACCAGTGCGCGACTGAAGTCCTCTCCCAGCACTCGCACACCACTCGGCGTGCGCCCCGCAGCGTCGGCTGCCGTCCGATATTCGACGGAGCTGAGCCACTGCTCATGGGAGGTAAGCCCGTGCTCACCCCGCAGCTCACAGCGACGACAGGTGAGAAGGCCAAATTGGTCGCCTGTCGACGGCCATTTTGTAGCCGCCGCACGCACCGGCATTATTTATGGGGATGTATAAAAGAGACGTCTCCAGCAGTGATTTTTGACATATAGTGCAATACCGCAATACAGGACAACGTTCAGCGGTGTCAGCAGCGCAGATTGGAACAGATTTCGCACAAAAACCGACATTCGGGCGGCAGAATGACTTCAGCATCCCAACGCAACAACTGACGAGGCCCATAAGGCACCGCGGCCGAAATTCGCCCGAATCGCCTAACGACGTACGGTATCAGCTGGGCCCGGACCCGGACAAGTCCACTTCGGTCGGTCGGGGGGTGGTCGAAGCCGGCGCCCGGCTAATCCGATCATCGGCCGACGCTCCGGGCGAGCCCACCCCGGCTGTACACCTTACCTCACTCGACCGTCCTTCCCTCTCACCTCCAGCCTCCGCCGACTCCGATCCATCATCACCCTGACCTCTGACTTCAACATCACACGCGCGGTCCACCCGCGCCACGTTCCCCTCGTGACCCCCGACCCCGACGGCCTTCTGATCCTCGCCGCCCTCGGCCGCGAGCTCGTGGCACTTGGCCCCGTTCGGCGCCTCGGGAATGCTGTTCCGCTGCTGGGCTTTCTGCCGTTTGGTTTTGCAGAGGATCCGGTGGCCGACACAGTCGAGATTCTCCTCGTAGCATTTGTTGCGACAGTGCACTCTGCACAGCTGGTACGGGCAGCGCTGGCCCTGTGCGAGCCACGGGCGTCGAGTTAAAGATCAGGTCACGGCTACGTCAATTGCTAAGTGCATGAGCGAGAAACTCTATTCACATAGATGAGACAGCGGTAATAGCCTTATTCCTCGGCGAAAAAAAACCAGGAGGCGGGGATATAGATGCGTTGATATTTCGGCTACATGTCTTCATTGAAACAATAGTAGAAGCTACTGTTTCTGCTATTGTTTCGATAAAGACATCTTACCGAAATATCAAAGCATTTATATGTCCATTCTCCTGTTTTTTTCTCCGAAGAATAAGGCTATCACTACTATCTTATCAGGCCAAAGCCACAAGGTTAGTCCGGCAAGTGGTAAGAACCACTTGCCTGAGAATTGGTATCAAGCATGACTGATATAACGCAAGTCAACCTGCAACGGTGGAAACGACACGATATGCCACACCAAATGCCGGGGAAGTTATCGCACTCTTCGTTCCTCGCACACGCCCCATCACCTTTCGGGGAAGAGCTGGAGAATGACTGACGCCAGCTTCTTGAATTGTCCATTATCTTTCCTAACACTAATATCACACATTCTCTGAAAGTTTTATGTCAAGATCATGCCAGGCCAGTGACCTAGGGCAGTTTCAGTGCAAGCATGTCGGACATGAATGCGAACGAACTTGAAAAATTGCAACGATTTGTAATCATTTGGTCTACCAGCGGTCTTCATGGCTTGCTTAGCTATCGACGTTACTCCTAGACGTTCCAATGACAAGCTGCAGTCATCGTACGACACTGACCTATATTGACCGCAAACTCTGACCCCTGATAACATGCCCTCTATAACAGCGTAATTTATTGTTGTAGTGACTTGTTATCGAACAGTATCGCTTCTACACCAATAAAAAAAACACTTCTTCCTCAAACGTCATCCTAGGTCACTTACTAATCCGACCTGGAGGTCTCAATTTTGAAGCAATTTACACGATTGCATGATCATGAGATCTAATCTACGGCTAGCTGCTTCTGTTTTATTAATGTATAGCCTATTGCGCTCCTTCGATCAGTGCCACACTCTCGCCCAAAGACGGTGCTGTAATTTCGGAAAAGTCAACAAGAGTCACTGCCGTAACTTGAACCTAAAAATTAAGATTAGTTCAAGTGTGTGGCCTATGACGGCTTGTGTTCAGTACCCCGGATTAAATCGAGTCATATCTTTCAGCACACTGAACGTGCTAGGCTCGTCGACGAAGCCGACGCTGAAATAAGCTGAAGAGGCCTTATTTAAAATAAACCTTACCGAACAGGAAGCACATGACTATCTGACATAACATGACATCTGACATATCATTTCCTCAAACAGGAAATTACCTGAGTCAATAGTATTATACTAATAGGCTTGCACGAGCCATCAAGTAGTTTTGTTGACCTCCACCGCTCTTCACAATTCGAGGGTAGGTACCTCCCCTCCTCTCTCCCTCCAATTCGGCTCGAAGCTGAGGCGGACTACCGTCAGCGCGCGGGATAAGGGGGTCAGAGGCGGCGTGTGCCCCCTCGGTCCACATAGCACATGTCACAAGTCACATCAGTACATCATATCGCACATCAATTTCCCTCGCAAGCCCCATTTGTGTCTATTTCACGCCTTTACACAGAGATTGGGACTGTGCCCCTGGCTGAGAGAACCGTATCCTCTGAGCCCACCGACTGGCCGCCACCTCTCACCCTGGGGTTGCAGCAGAGGCCGCAGCGCTCCATCAGCACGCGGTTGACGCCGATCTTGACGCCGCGCGCCATCTTCTTCTGCTTGCGCTTGCTGACAACGGCGGCGTCCTCCTGGCGCGGCCGCTTGGTCTCCGGCGGCGGCTGATCCGTCAGCAGACGCAGCTGACGCTCGCGCCGCTGCTTCTCCTGGTTCGCCTGATGACCGGCAGGGCGCGTGAGCCGACGCTCGGCTGGCGAACGTATTCAAATGCGCCTGCCGGCCGCACTGGCGCAGGTCGCGCGAGCTCATGGTGTTGTTAGCTTCGAAAGCTTTGTCCGTTACAAAACGGGTACCGTATGAGCACTTGTTTGTTACAAAGCCTGCTTAGCTGTGGTCATCCGCATCTGAAAAGCCCCGTTCGCCATGCACATCCCCCGATATCTTTGCTTTGATTTTCGCGTAGCAAACAGCAGGAGCAGTTCGGTTCACAGTTCAAACAGCTCTGCTCACGTATCTCTGCTCTAGCACAGCTCACGGGCAACTTGTCCGGGCTCAGTGGGGAAGCCAAACGAAGGGATGCTGGTAGCTAAACTAACAGCAAATGCGTGAAGCAAAATCAACACCACTGCGGGCGTCTAAGGTATTGCAACTTTTGAAGAGGGCGTTCCATTCTCGTATGGGGTTTTGAACTGAACTAGCCATCTTGGAGATCATTCGGTGCAGTTCAAAACACTGTCTTTCTTAACACTTTTCAGGCTACACGCCTGAATAAGCTACAGACTATTTCGTGCGGACTATTTCAAGGTCACCTAGGCATCCATGACGCCATTACGTCACTCGAATTCTGCCGTTCTACTGGACATGCAGCAATCACGGTAAAGAAAAAAACAAATTGTCAAATTGTTCATATCCGGCGTTCGTGAGCATAATTTGCAGATAACAGCCGTCAATTGGCTCTCAATCAATGCGATGTAAGGTACGATGACACAATCAAGCAATCACGTGTTGAGGAGCATATTTACTAAATGAAGAAATCGTGTTGTCTAGAAAAGTCTTTCCCACCTGCGCATTCCCAGAAAAGTGTACCAATAGTTGCAAGTGAGCCTTTTGCATGAAGTGAGATGCTTTTCTCAATATCTTTAAATGTTGAACACTCCCTTCAAACCTTGCACCCCATTCTCACACTAGTAAACAACCGGGTAAGGTATAACCAGCGCGTGTGCCCATATAAGGACTGCGTATTCCCTGATAGTGTCCCGTTCGACGAATCCGAGTGCGCGCCAGATGAAGCACTCATCGTCCGGGGCATAATCCAAGCACACAGGGAACTCACAGCCAGCCGCTTCGACGTGCATTTTCGCCGCACTCTCACTAGCCCCTCCCTCCCCCCTCCCCCAGTAACAACACAGTACCGCGATGTTTCGTGACTAGACATTCCTGACCAACAAGTCTGACGTCCGCTACTGCTGGTTCAGTCTCGCCCGCATCAAGCGCCGTCTCACTCTCGCCCGCCGCCTGCCTCGAGGCTCGCGACATGCCGGCTGTCTTCCTGGCGGGCACACGTACCTCCATCTTCTTAAGGTGCTGGGCGATCGGCTCGCGCTCGTGCGGCTGACACAGGAACGGCGAGAGAGGTAGCCGGCCCGCCACCTCGTCTGGCGGTGCCACACACGAGCTCAGGTCAGGTCACGGTCAATGCGTCTCCTGGCACTGCACACAGGTCATGTCGAGTCACGTGGTTGCGTCGGATTATGGGGAAGTCGATGTTATAGCGTGGACACGAATAAAGGTTATGCCAGGTCAATGTCACATCAAGTTGTTCAGCAAGGGTCAAGTCTGACTAGGGTCAGATCAGGTAAGTGATTGCCTGGGCAAGGTCAATCAGCAATGGTGTATTCAAGCTCAAGTCGGGTCAGGGTTCAAAGAGACAACAGTCAAATCGCAGATATTACCAGAAGATGTCAGATAAGCAAAGCTTACATCAGCAATAAAAGGACACACAATCAGAACAGCTTTGTTCAAATCAGATCATCTGCAACTAGATCAGTGTCAGGTCTATAAAAACATCATTTACCTCAGAGAGATCAGAACACTTGTCTTGGGATAACCAGAACAGCCAACATTAAGGACGCCATCAGAAACGGATACACAACTTCGTTGCCAATGAGGACCGCCTCCAACAGATTCGGATGCCATTTAGCTCCGGTCGCAATGCCAAGGTATGCAGAAGATCGGCGAGGCCGCTGACCTCCAGGTCCGGGACTCCACACCGGTCCTCCCTCCTCCGTGTAGCGATGATAGCGCTCTCGCAGCAGGCTGACGGCCTCCTCCAGCTGCTCCAGCCGATTGGCACGCGCCGCAAGCGCACGTACGTCGTGATTGGCCGGCATCAGGAGACTGCGAACCAATCAGATGCGGCGTTCGTGATTCAGGGTCTCCGGCTCGATTCCCGTCACGTCGTTTTTTCCGGAGCACACTGAGAGATGTGGGATGGGACCTATCGCGTCCAAAGACGCTAATCCTGTCACTGTGGAAGAGGCATGCCTTCAAGTCATTCTGCTTTGTGCGGCAGTATTTGTATCACTGAAATATTGCAACTTGTCACGGCAGAAGTGGGAGAAACACCATCAAACGCCTCAGGAATCGTTTGTGTTCCGCGGCTCCAACAGCTACACTGTGATCTCTGACTACAATAGCGGCAGTGCTTTGACTAACGCAAGGTCAAGTTCTGATGAATGAATCAGCAACGATGTCTGCGGCCCTGGCACCACGACCAGAGGATAACTATCAACGCCTGACGTGGCTGACCACAGCACAACTATCAACGCCTCATCCGACCCCCACCTCCCTCAGGTTCACGGCCCAGTCAGCCCCGCGCCCCTTCCCTCCCGGCTAAGTGCCCACGCACCAATAGTGGAGCATTTTGAAGACGTGGCCGCGCGCGTAGCTGAGCGGGCACGGGTAGCGGCGCACCAGCCGGAGGTACTCGTCGGCCACCTCCCACACGGCCGGGTGCGAGCCCGCGAACAGCGCCGGGTTGTGCAGGTTGCCCTCCGCCGACATCACCTGCGGCGCGCACACGCTTGGTCAGAAACGCCACAGCTTGCTATTTGAAACGATGCGCCCTGTCTGGCAGAAGAGGTAGGCATGCTTGCTGGTATGCTTCTAGTGAAGGAATGTCCGTGATCATCCTCGGGGTCCGCTTCCACGCAAACAAAACGACAAGACCAGGCGCTCTGACATTACACGAGTCAGTTATCACAGCACACTTCGTTTAACGACACACTCTTCATCGTTGATGACACCTAAATCAAGCGTTGTGTGCGTCATTGGGGTTTTACGACGCACTCAGCTGCTGAGGCTATAAGGCGTCGCCTGCCTCTCACCCTAGCAGGAAGGGCGGGCACCGCGGGGTAAACCAAGCGTTCGAAGTGCAGCTGGCACCGGTCCGGCTCACACGCTGACGCCATACGACATTAACGCCGTGTTCGTGTTCCCGCCTCCCCGCACCCAGCCGGCGGGAGGTGCGTGTCCACACACAGTCCCGGACACACACCCGAACACACATCCGGACACACAGTTCCGGACACACGTCCAGCCAGGCTGGCGGACCCGGCGCGTGTGACGTCACACCGCTTCCGACGCAAGTGACGTCACACCGCTTCCGACGCAGGTAACGTCATGGAACACTCAGACACATAAACACACAGCTGGATACCTAATAAGAGCGTGTTGTGCACTTGTCGTGAGGATTAATGCATCTAATAGTAGAGTGTTTGGCGTGAGCGGAGTCGGCGGTCATATCAAATTGCGTAATGTGCGTGCGTGCGTGCGTGCGTGCGTGCGTGCGTGCGTGCGTGCGTGCGTGCGTGCGTGCGTGCGTGCGTGCGTGCGTGCGTGCGTGTGTGTGTGTGTGTGTGTGGTGTGTGTGTGTGTGTTTGTGTGTGTGTGTGTGTGTGTGTGTGTGTGTGTGTGTGTGTGTGTGTGTGTGTGTGTGTGTGTGCATGCATGTATGTTATGTGCATATATATATATATCTCATATATATATATATATATATATATATATTATATATATATAATATATATGTGTGTGTGTGTGTGTGTGTTGTGTGTACATATATGCACTTTCCAAGCACGCAATAGGATGCGTATTTACGTAGCATGTACACGCGTGCATGGATTAATTTACAAAGGGCTAACGGAAACGTGTTCTTTCGGACTGCCGCGTCGTGCACTAGCAGGCGCAACACGGACAGACGCCCGTGACAGGCACTGGCTCTTTCTCAGTGATGCAGTCCACTCACGCCCTGCGCCCCGGTTGTACTCCAAGCAGCGGTGCACGTCGGCCAGGTACTGGATGTTGCCGTTGGCGAACACGGGGATGCTGACCGCCTCCCTGGAAAACGGTGCGAGGACGTTAGGACCGGACGGCAGCCAGCTCCACCCCGCTGCACCGAAACACGGCGTCCGAAAACCGAAACTTGGTGTCCCATCGAGCGACAGCCCAGCGCGTCTTATATGCAGCACAGGACATCATTGTGACAACAAAGACGGCTACCGAAGCTGTCATCTACGGCAGCAGGGGCAGCTGGTATCGGGGATGGCCCAGCATCGAATGCTGACCCAGGTGGCGAAAACCAACCGGTGGAAACCCAAAACAGCACCTTGAACGCCGTCACCACCAACACCCACGCATCGGTACCTGCTCCAGAACCGAGCCTGAACACGCCGGCCGAAAGCGGGCAGCCGATCGGAGGTTTGAGTGGGAGCCTGAGCGGGCGGCGCCGGGCGGCGGCTCACCTGACCGCCTTGATGGCGTCCCAGCTGGCCAGCCCGGTGAGGGGCCCCTTCATATCGCGCGTGCGGCCGTGCACCGTCAGCAGCTGGCAGCCGGCCGACTCCAGCATCCGCGCGTACCTGCGGTGGCGCCGCCGCGCCAGGGACGCCGTCACACTGCGGCCAGACGCCACCCCACCGCGCAACCGCGCGCTTCCCGGGCGCCGCCGCCGCGCCAGGGGCGCCGTCACACCGCCGCCAGACGCCACCCCACCGCGGCAACGGCGCGCTTCCGCCGCGCCAGGGGCGCCGGCACACCGCGGCAGCAGCAAATTGAAACAGTTAGTGGCAGCAGCTGGGGAAATGCTTCTAGTGCCTGGGTGTCTATCTGAACATGTATGTGACCTGCTTTCCAATAAAAGGCACGCAAGCGACTGAGCTCGCGCATACGGTGTGCAAACAGGAGACATCGGGCCGTTCGGGTGCTGAAAAGGAAGACCAACAGGAGCAGGACAGGAGGACCGACACTCTGTGCCACTCAGGTGGTACAGGACCAGTTGGGGGAGGAAGGCGGGAGGAGGACTGACACACCATGCCACTCAGGTGGTACAGGACCAGATGAGAGGAGGACGGGAGAAGGACTGACCCGCCATGCCACTCAGGTGGTACAGGACCAGATGAGGAGGACAGGAGGAGGACCGACACGCCGTGCCACTCGGGTGGTACAGGACCAGATGGGAGGAGGACAGGAGGAGGAGGACCGACACGCCGTGCCACTCGGGTGGTACAGGACCAGGTGGGAGGAGAACAGGAGGAGGAACGACACGCCGTGGCACTCAGGTGGTAAAGGACCAGATGGGAGGAGGACAGCAGGACCGACACGCCGTGCCACTCGGGTGGTACAGGACCAGATGGGAGGAGGACACGAGGAGGACCGACACGCCGTGCCACTCGGATGGTACAGGACCAGATGGGAGGAGAACAGGAGGAGGAACGACACGCCATACCACTCAGGTGGTACAGGACCAGATGAGAGGACAGGAGGAGGACCGACCCGCCGTGCCACTCGGGTGGTACAGGACCAGATGGGAGGAGGACAGGAGGAGGACCGACCCGCCGTGCCACTCGGGTGGTACAGGACCAGATGGGAGGAGGACAGGAGGAGGACCGACCCGCCGTGCCACTCGGGGTGGTACGGGACCAGATGGGAGGAGGGACAGGAGGAGGACCGACCCGCCGTGCCACTCGGGGTGGTACAGGACCAGATGGGAGGAGGACAGGAGGAGGACCGACACGCCGTGCCACTCGGGTGGTACAGGACCAGATGGGAGGAGGACAGGAGGAGGACCGATCCGCCGTGCCACTCGGGCGGTACAGGACCAGATGGGAGGAGGACAGGAGGAGGACCGACCCGCCGTGCCACTCGGGTGGTACAGGACCAGATGGGAGGAGGACAGCAGGACCGACCCGCCGTGCCACTCGGGTGGTACAGGACCAGATGGGAGGAGGACAGCAGGACCGACACGCCGTGTCACTCGGGTGGTACAGGACCAGATGGGAGGAGGACAGCAGGACCGACCCGCCGTGCCACTCGGGTGGTACAGGACCAGATGGGAGGAGGACAGCAGGACCGACACGCCGTGTCACTCGGGTGGTACAGGACCAGATGGGAGGAGGACAGCAGGACCGGACCGCCGTTTCACTCGGCGGTTACAGGACCAGATGGGAGGAGGACAGGAGGAGGACCGACCGCCGTGCCACTCGGGTGGTACAGGACCAGATGGGAGGAGAACAGGAGGAGGAACGACACGCCGTGCCACTCGGGTGGTACAGGACCAGATGGGAGGAGGACAGGAGGAGGACCGACCCGCCGTGCCACTCGGGTGGTACAGGACCAGATGGGAGGAGGACAGGAGGAGGACCGACCCGCCGTGTCACTCGGGTGGTACAGGACCAGGTGGGAGGAGGACAGCAGGACCGACCCGCCGTGCCACTCGGGTGGTACAGGACCAGATGGGAGGAGGACAGGAGGAGGACCGACCCGCCGTGTCACTCGGGTGGTACAGGACCAGGTGGGAGGAGGACAGCAGGACCGACCCGCCGTGCCACTCGGGTGGTACAGGACCAGATGGGAGGAGAACACGAGGAGGACCGACCCGCCGTGCCACTCGGGTGGTACAGGACCAGATGGGAGGAGGACAGCAGGACCGACCCGCCGTGCCACTCGGGTGGTACAGGACCAGATGGGAGGAGGACAGCAGGACCGACCCGCCGTGCCACTCGGGTGGTACAGGACCAGATGGGAGGAGGACAGGAGGAGGACCGACCGCCGTGTCACTCGGGTGGTACAGGACCAGATGGAGGAGGACAGGAGGAGGACCGATCCGCCGTACCACTCGGGTGGTACAGGACCAGATGGGAGGAGGACAGGAGGAGGACCGATCCGCCGTACCACTCGGGTGGTACAGGACCAGATGGGAGGAGGACAGGAGGAGGACCGATCCGCCGTACCACTCGGGTGGTACAGGACCAGATGGGAGGAGGACAGGAGGAGGACCGATCCGCCGTACCACTCGGGTGGTACAGGACCAGATGGGAGGAGGACAGGAGGAGGACCGATCCGCCGTGCCACTCGGGTGGTACAGGACCAGATGGGAGGAGGACAGGAGGAGGACCGACCCGCCGTGCCACTCGGGTGGTACAGGACCAGATGGGAGGAGGACAGGAGGAGGACCGACCCGCCGTACCACTCGGGTGGTACAGGACCAGATGTCAGCCTCAGGGAGACATCCACACAAGCAGAATAACACTCCGATGCACGTCGTCTAGTGAGCCGGTAAAATACTCGACACAGTATCTGGTGTTCCATATAATCAAAACGAGCCTTCATTGCTCATTTGCTATTGGAATCTCTGGACAAAAGAAGGCCGCAACGTAAAATCTACTACTAAAAAGGCGTGA